CCTCTTCCCTTACCCAAAGGCCCACTTCACGCAAGCTCCCGAAAAACCAGAGGGATATGTGTTCACATGGAACAACATTTGCTTTCTACGGCATTTAAAAAGTATTCGAACGAGAGCAAACACATAATTCTTCATTAAACAATCAAAGACAACAAAAGCAAGTTTCTGTTGTCCCATCGTATTATCCTACTAATCCTCTTTGGATGGCAATCAAAAGCCCCCGAAATGCCAAGCCAGGGAAGTCTCTTTCCAAGCAGTGGTCGCCTCTGGCTCTTTGGCTGCGCCTTCAGTCGGTTGCATTGGCAGAGAGGAGCCATGGCAAATTCCCAGTGTACTTACAGGGCTATCTCAGACTGCTTTATTTCACTTAAAGGGCATTCTAATTGTAATACAGCCACTTCTCCTCCTCTGGAAGAGCCAGGTAGGTCACAGTCTGCACTCCAGACTGCACTCAACAAGTGGATTTTTCAACTCCATCTACTGCTCATGCCAAGCTTTGATTTGAGATGGTGTCAGCAGATACTCAAACACAAGACCCCAGTGGACTGTTTAAAACAGGAATTCTGAGGCATTATTTCCTCCAATACTTTTCCAAAAACAAGTAAACACATCCTGCATCATTCCCCAGCTATTACTTACACAGGAAGTTTAAATGTGATGCAAACAGCAGCAGCCACATGGCAGCTAAACCACATATACAGTGGAACATTTTTGTCATTTTATATCAATAGCATGAAGCAAAAATTAACATTTTGTGATCTTCAAGGTGTTTTCCAACCCAAACAATTCTGTGATTCTATTTACACACAGCACAGAAGCAAAATGCCATTAGAAAGTGTGTAATTAGCTGTAAAAACGAGTGATTGTGGTGGGAACACAGAGTTATTTAGGGTATCTCATCTGAAACCTAAAGGTATATAATTACAGTACAATTGGGTAAGAAATAGAATGCCAAGAGAAGGGAAAGTAGCAGACAGGACCAGATATTCCTGTAATAATCAGATTATGGCAACAAGTATGTGCACACCTTGTTCTTCAGGGCTACCTTCAAATTCCACCAGGAACCAGCCTGTAAATGATGTTGCCTGGTCTGTCCTCCACAGAATGTGGAAGGACATGGATATTCTTACCCTACCAATAACCCACCAAAGGGATTAAAACCCCCTGACCCTCATTTCTAGGCTGGAAATCATTTGGCAGAAGATTCAATTAGAAGCCCCACAAAGCAATGCTACACTTTGTTGAGTTATTCAATGTTTTAAAATTCAATCAGAAAGAATAAAACATTTTATATATAAAATATATATATGAAAACATAATTGAGGAATTTTCTGCCTAACAACTAAAGAAACAAAGATGAAAAGCCTTGTGTCTAAGAATTAGAGGGTCCACAAAATTAGTATTTAGTTGTTACTGGGTTGAGTTTTAACAAGTCCCTTCTAACTCAGGATAATCTATGATTTTATGAAGTCTCACGCAAAGGAAAAGTCCAGGAGCAGCCATCTGGATTTCCCAGATGTGTTCATCACTTCAAAAATTGAATTGAAGACATGAGTTATATATTCTCCCAATCTCAAGTGCTGTGTCCAGTTCTGACCCCTCATGCTAAGACAGATCTTGAGGGCCTGGAGAATGCATAGGGAAGGGAATAGAGCTGGGGAAGGGTCTGGAGCACAGGAGTGGCTGAAGGAGCTGGAGGGGCTCAGCCTGCAGAAAAGGAGGCTCAGGGGGGACCTTCTGGCTCTGCAAGTCCCTGACAGGAGTGGGGAGCTGGCAGGGGCTGGGCTCTGCTCCCAGGGAACAAGGGACAGGATGAGAGGGAACAGCCTCCAGCTGTGCCAGAGATGGTTCAGGTTGGACATCAGAAAGAATTTCTCCCTGGAAAGGGTGTTCAGGAACTGGAAGCGGATGCCCAGGGAGGTGGTGGAGTCCCCATCCCTGGAGATGTCCAAGGAAGGACTGGCTGTGGCACTCAGTGCTCTGGGCTGGGTGATGAGGTGGGGATTGGGCACAGGGTGGATTCGATGGGCTGGGAGGGCTTTTCCAACCTCAGTGATTCTGGAACTTAAAGATGTACTCCTTAAAAACCATTGAGGTGCTTGCTGGAAAAGCATGTATGTACTTTTTAGTAAAAGGTTACACTTTGAGGCACCGAGAAATACAAAATTAACTGCCAAAATCAGTGCCTGATGTAAAGCACATGCACAGCTTCTCGTGGAGCACACGACTCTTACAGGGTTCAGCTGTGGATGTAAATATGTGGCAACTACTCTAACAAAAGGAAAACAGATGAAATTTTAATCAAATGAGCCTCCTATCAGGTGCAGGGGAACTGAAAATGGGCTAAAATGAAAAAACCTAGCAGAAGAATGACTTTAATATTGGGTAACATTTCAAGTTTTTATCACCTAAATCCACAAAATTCCTGATCTGCTCCTGCTTATCTTCTCTTCAGAGCTGGAGTCAGGACCAGCTAAATAAAAGATAATGCAACTAGGCATAACACAATAAAAGATATTACCTTCCCAATGCATTATTGCTGCCAATTATAAGAATCACTTCAACTTAATTTCAAAGGCACAATCACCCTCAACTGTAACAGTCTCTTTTTTAAATTTCAAACAGTATTACATTAAGGCAATAACTCACCTTCCAGCTATAATATCAGTCTCCCTTATTGCAAAAATACATTTCATAAATACTTCTCATCGACAAGTCAAGCTAATTCAGGTTAATTTTATTGTATTTTGGTGCTATCTCACATTTGTGTGCAATTACCTTTATCATTTTATTGCCATGCCAGAAAGTAATCAGAACAATTATTTGAAAAAGGAGGGGTATAAATTCTAGATCACAGTTGCTGGCATTTTTGATAAAATAGCAGCTTTATCTCAGGAAGTGGCAGGGACATGGGATAAATCATGCATCAGTCAAGTGTAGCTGACCCCCAAGTGCATTGCACAATATCAGGAGTGCTTCAAAAGAAACTTTCCTATATAATCCATCATCCTTTATAATACCAAAATAGCTCTACCTGAAGAGTAGGAGCTGGAGAATAATAACAAAATAAATCTAAGCAATATGAACAAAACCATTAATAGCGCTCCTTAAGCTGAAGGAGAGTCAGGAATCTGAGTTGTGTTCCAGGAAAGAATTTCACTGAATTTTTTGAAGTGAGTAGAGCAGATTTAAACAAATGAAGCAGCAAAACGTGTATTAAGAATTCACTATAAATACAAAATACAAAAACAAATACACACAAGAGGTGTCAAAAAGACTTGTGTAAGAATACCAGACTACAGTCTTGTAGCACATACATCTGAATTTTCCTGTAATTATCAATCTCTGCTTGACTCAGGACAAGTGTTTCAGTATTACCACGGAGCAAAGAATCACTGTTAGTACAAGAATCTATTCACTAAGTTTAATTTAAATACATACAAGAGGAACAGATGACATTTAGAATTTTCTAACGAACTAGAAAAATTGCCACATTGTCATAAGAACACCAAAACCCTCCAAGATTCCTAAACATGGAGACATCCCTATGTATGGTCACACAGAGCCCGATGGCCTTCCAGCCTCTTCCACCCAAACCCAACAGAAATCTTTGGTCACTGCAACAGAACCAGGGATGGAGTGGGAGACAGATACAGTGATCATGGAAAATTCCCACATCTGCTGGGAATTCTGAATGTTTTCCCAAACCACTGTTCAGCAACCTGCTGAAAAACTGCTCAGCACATTCCACGGGTGATAACTGATTCCTTTAAAACCCATGTGTCAGGCACACACTGTGCTTCACCAGCTTGGGTCTGGGCTCAAAGGCACACTGTAATCATACAGGAAAAAGATCACTAAAATCATCAATACATGTACATTAATATGCACCCAGAGTGGGGGAAGTGTCTGCAGCGTCCTGGCAGAGTTTGTATGTTTTACCTTGAACCTTCTTGTCTTCCCACATATCAAAAGGGGAAAACTCAACTCCCCCAACAGCTAAAGCTGCTTCTTTCAACTCCATGTGAGGGTGGGAGAAAGAAAAAAGGTTAGATAAATTATTAGTTTCATGTTACTTGCCAGTTATATCACACCTTGCTTGGAATGACAGGGAATTCTTCCTCCCAAATATTTCTCTACTATTCCAGGTACCTGCTAAAAGGTGTTTGCAACTGGAAGATACATAAATGTAACTGAACAGATGACTGTTCAAGAGAAAAAAGTGAATCAAGAATTTATTTTTCTGAATTTCCTCCTCAATCATTCCATTTTAAAAGATAAAAACTATTCTTTTGTGGAAAGGAGGTAGACAACACAATGCACCAAAATGCTCCCTTTTAAAGCCACATGACATTATGTAAGGCAGATGAAAATGAGCAGGGATGCCTCTATTAAGACATTTTAACAGGGGTAGAAGTTGCCAATGGGAATAGTGAGAAATGCAGGTGTGATTGTACCAGAAATGTTTTCTAGAGGAGCACTACTAATGTTATAAAAACAGGTAATTCACAGAGGAAAAAAAAAAAGTATTCATATCTTCAAAGTTCATTTCAGCTATTTCAGGGAGGGGGCTATTGATTAAAACTGTGTTGATGCCTTTCTTTCAGTAAGGTAAATCACTCTAATATCTGACTAAACAGCCATGTTTTCTCATTTTACTATGAAGTTACTGCCCTACACCCACCTCACTGGAGCATCAAGCCTCAAAATTTAGCCTGTTTTCCAGGGAGGTGTTTATTAGGAAAATGGAAAAAGTAGCTTTGTCCTGTTATTTATGCTCTGTGGCAGATGGATACGTGATGGGGAAAGGTCCACTGATGCCTGTTCCCAACCATGACAGAGCTACAGAGATTTACAATGCAGCATCAATCTTGTCAGCTGGGTTCTTAATCCTGACTGCTGGGCACTGGGGACAAAACAAACTATGTTACGTGCACTCTTTTGTAATGCTGCTCTTCCAGTGGACACCCAAATGCAAAGGGATTTCACTGGAAACTTACTCTTGGAATGAGCCTTGGCGTCATCGTAGAATAAAAAGTCTCCACCTGAAAGGAAAAAAAATAATTCTCAGATTATTTAATTTGAATTTCACGTTTGAATTCCACACCCATATTATCATGTCTCTTAAAACCACCTCAATTCTTTAAATGAGCTCTAAGTCTCAATATATATACATAATTTCCAAAGGGAGTTTGATTTTTTACAAACAGCAAGGAATTTTAATGTTGATGAGGTCACCAAACAAACAAACAAACAAGCAAAAATCAGCAGATGGCACAGGGAAGACTTCTTCCATAACAAGCACTGCACAACTCTGATATTTGGAATAAGAATGCCTTAAAAAATAAAAATATTGATTTAAGAATTTCTTACAGGCAGTCCTACACTTCTGAGTGACTTAGTAAAATAACCAGCCTTTTGTAATTTAGGAAATACCACATTTTAAGGCATGAAAGCAAGTGATTTCATTATATTGTGGGTTTATAAGTACAGATTGCAAACCACTAAGTACCTAAGAAATGTTAACTCCAATTATTATAATTCTAGTCGTACACAGTATCACTGTTTATATAATTTAAAAATCAAAAATATAATAATATAATTAAAAATATAACTGGTTCCTCTCTCCTCTCCCCTTTGAAATACAGGATAATTACTGTTTCTTTGGCATTTAACTCTGTCCCTCTAGGTTTTTTTCAGTGACACTTAGCCAAGATCACTTTATCATTGAAGCATGTGGTATAAATACTGCATTTTTAAAAATCAGGGAGATTATGTGCCAAAGCCCAGCTCCAGAATCCTGACTCACAGCCAGGCTCAATGGGAACTGCTCCACTTAAGTCAGGGAACTCTCTACTCCACAGGAGAGCAAAAGTGTATCCGCTTCAGGAATGATAAATCTCTTGGAAAAGAAATTATATGAACATCTGAGACTTTCCAAGACTCTCCAACACATCAAGCCTTGGAGTCCAAGGCAGTGAGAGAACACACAGGCACTTCCCAGCTACTTACAAGCAAAGAGCAACATTTAACATTACATCTTTTTTTTTTATTTTAAGTGTTTAAAATTAAGGCTGATAATTAGTCTTTTAGCTGTACTAGCAATCATGCCTTGCAAGGCAGGCATTGCAAAGAGCGCTCACTGCATTTTTAAATGTAAGTCGGGCAGATGAGCAATCTAATATTATAACTTAAAATACCTGTGATAGAGCTAAAAATAAAACAGCAATTTATTTCTATTGTCAGCTCAGAGCTTTGACTTTCAAAGTACACTGGAAGGCTCAGGTTTTTCAGATTTTCCTGAAGGTAAAGCTCAATTTTGCCTCAAAAAGATTTATTTAGAAGTTCGTTTCAAACCAGGCCCAAAGACCAAGGAGAAGTGCAGTGTCTAAGTGCACTGAGTTAAGCCAAGGTTACACAGATAATCCCAGGAGTTTGCATCTGTTCTCTGCCTTTCCACACAACCCCAGGAGGCCAAGGAGTAGAAAAGCTGGTGGGATGGCAGAGACGACACATCGTGATGGGACAGTGAGCCAGGAGCAGGCCTCCATCCCATCCAACAAAACAAGGACAGCCTTGACACCCCGCAATGACACAGTCCCAAAAATCATGAGTAAAGCCTGAGGAGAGTCCCAGACCAACCAGTGTTCATCACCTATTTCTGCCCCAGACTGAGCTCCACCATCTCTAGCCCAACACGGCTTTCCCCTGGTGACAAAAGGTCAGGCAAAGCCAGAGATGCCCAAACCATGGTGCTTAGAAGACTTCTGGCAGCCAGGCAGGGGAAAAACATACCCTCCAAATTGCACATGAGCTTTGCACAGACTATCTTGTTGGAAGAGGTCAATATATGAATCTATAACTTCTTTTCACATTAAAGAGTTGAAGGCTTCTCCTAAGATTGACTTTGAAGGCAAGAAGCCAAAATCTCTTCTCAACAGCACACACTGATCAAACTCAATGATACCTCATTCTAGATCACCCTCTAGAAACTGAGACACCAGAATCACATCTTAAAAAAAAAGAAACCTTAATGAAAGAAATTCCTTCACCAAAATGGAAAATTTCCTCCTGTGTTTGCAGAGAGTGTGATAAACTGAAGAGATTAACAATCACAAGGGAAGAAAAAAACCCAGAGGTAATTTGTCACCATCCTCACTAGCTCAGAGCTGCCCAACTAGGACTGGTGAAGTCCACCAGAGCTCCTGCTTCAGCCCTGAGTGGTGAGATCACCTCAGTTCCCCCTGGCCTTTTAATCAAGATGTGCCCAATTTCCCCAAAACTTCTGCTCCCACCCAAGAGCTGTGCTGAGGAGCAGCCCAGGCTCCCTCAGCAGCAGGATGCTCCTGAGACACTGAGAAGACAGACAGACAAATGCCTGCAGGTGCTGAAAATGGTGCAGAAGAAAATACATCACAGCCCCACCCTGGGAGCATTCCAAACCTTTAGATATGCCAACAGAGCAAAATGTAAAGAAAAGTCAGGGGTTAGAACAAAAAGAGATCCATAAAGGCCATGAAATTTTCCAGCTATGTTTTGCTGATGATCTAGAACAGAAGTCCTTAGGTTTTGAGATACTTCCCTGGGTTTTAGCCTCCCACAGGACTGCAGCCTGAGAGGTACACGTGATGGCAGTAAGAACTTAGATTAGTAAGAAGTATTTTTCTCAGTTCATCAACTTTTAAACACTAAAGGAAGATTCTCCTTGAAAGACAAGTCCTCGGGATGCACAGAACACTCTGGATCAGCACTAAAATTTAAACTCAGCTATTACACAAGTCACTATACGAATAAAATTCCATATGAAAACATTTAAAGTACATTAGATTTTTGGTCAAGATGAAAGCCTGAAAAAAAAAGAAAGAAACTCCAGCAATCTATTCTAATTGGGTTCCCATGGTAACTGTACAATTGGGTTTTTCAGTGTAACATCCCAAAGGCCCAATGCACACTTGTAAAATATACTTCAAACAGCCGGAATTGTTTTTACATTACAGCACTCCCAGGAAGATCAATTACTATACATCCCCACCCTAACTATTAGTGGCAGGAGATGTTAACACTATTGGCCATATTAACATAAGTCATGTAAAAAACCCCACATATCACCATCATTATATAAAACTAATTACACACTTCAGATTCATCAAACATGTTCCGAGTAATAAACCAATACTAGTCTTGTCACTAGATCATGTTTACTGAGTGCTAGAAATCAACCCCAAATATATGCCAAACCATTTTTGCTTCTCATATTGATCTCAAGGATAAACAGAATCAATCATTAATAATTACATTATAAGATGACCCATAGGGTTAATCATATTCTTAGAAACTCTCACTATGGAATCAAACGTAGCAGCACAAAAAGGCAACTGAAAAGCATTTAAATCCAGGCCAAGTGCGTTAACAATGATATAAAACGAGGTGCATTCACCAACATGCAACTCATTCAATCAGCGAGAAGAAAGGAGTACTACTGCTGTCTTTGCAAAAACAAAAAACAAGCATTTTTTACTTCCCTGTGAGGGTGGGGAGGCCCTGGCACAGGCTGCCCAGAGAAGCTGTGGCTGCCCCATCCCTGGAAGTGTTCCAGGCCAGGCTGGACGGGGCTTGGTGCAACCTGGGCTAGTGGAAGGTGTCCCTGCCCATGGCAGGTTCCTTCCCACCCAAACCAGTCTGGATGATTTCCCTAAGAAGTTTTTTTTTCAGATGAAGCACTCTGCCTTGTTGGGCCCTAATTTCACTTTCTTAAAGCACAACCCTGGCCACAGACCCAGATTTTACTTCCATCCCACTGCTTAAGCCTCAAAACTAAAAGGAGACACTGACCCAGGCCAACTAAGCAGGATTCAAAACAATATTCATTTATATTCCAGAAAAACAAAAAACATCTGCAGTTAGTTTGAATAAAGTTTATCTCATTTCTCACTCAACCAAAAATCTCGGTATGTCATGAAGTCAGCAAACAATCAGAGGTATTTCTGATGTCAACGGGAGACTGTGCAAGGGATTTCCCTTCTCCCCCCACCCTTCCTACTACACCCCATCTGGTTATACTGAAATCCAGTGAAGCACAGTGCAGGGAAAACGAAACTGTGTGAATTTTCTCCAGGACACTGGTGACAGACTAAAGTGTCCTGTCACCATCACCAGCCCACGGGTGCCAAAGCAGGTTTGTGCTCCTTATGTACTGTCAGATACTGTACATTCATCTGCTGGTTTTTCTATGTGAAACAGAAAAATTAATCTTTTAACAGGGCCTTAAGTCTACTTTAGGTGTTTATTAAAAAGTTTAACTAATTAACAGCCCTTCTGCACACTTGAGTGTACAAACAAGCCAAGATAACGCTGTTGTTTGCACTGTGCTGACTGATCTAAAGCACTCAGATAATTTCAATATTACTGATGATGATTATGCAGCAACAACATTTACAAGACAGCACTAATACTTGCTATCTGCTAATGCAGGGTTACCTGAAGGGAGTTAAATCTCCTCGTGGAGCATGTCGTGATTCAGACAACAAAGCAACTCTGACTTTTGTGGGCTGTGTTAATATATATACATTAAAATACTGATTCCATTAATCTGTACATAATGCAGTAAAAAACGGCATTTGAATAAAAATTAAAAGCTGCAAATGCACCCATCAGGTAAGACCAAAAGCCAAAATTATTCTTTATTCACCTTTGTCAAGCTGCTCAAGACTCCAGGCCTTCAGTCATTAAAAATATTAAACTATTATTTCACTCCAAAACCAGAGAAATCAGAACCTTTGTACCAGTGATCTCCTCTCTTCCTTCTTGAAATTAAAAGTGACTTGCTCAGGTGTAATTATTTCTAATCACCTTCAGAACCTACAGGTCCAAGTTTCACAAGTGACTTGAAAGGATAACCGAAATTATTTCTACCATTTAATTCGGCCCAATATAAATTGACACCAGGTAGTCCTGACAACTATCAGGACAGGGTGCTTTAGCTCTGCTGATACAAAATAGTAAATAAGGAAACAACTTGAAAAAGGCTTAGTAAAAAGCATCAATATGGTGACATTATCACCAAATAAAAACTTCCATAATAACTCCACTCCCATGACACTCCAAAGTCACATGAGCTTTATTGACACTCAAATATTTTTTGAAACAGTTACCTGGACAACAGAAGCACATAGTCAGTTTTAAAATTGGATTTTGTATTTATGAAAAATGCTGGAATACAGGTTTGGGTTTACAGTTTGGTTGTACCTCCAGCTGCATCTTTTAACTTCATGCTGGCCCAAACACACCTGTGCCGGGTGATAATGTCAGAAACACAGGTGACAGAATTTAACAGAGGAGTTTTTCTTGCATCGGGAAGGTTTTACTCATTATACCCCAAGTAAATTTGCACAGCCAGAACTAATACAGTTTTGTAGGAAGCAACATTCCCAGCTGTGAACAGAGGTAGGAAATTCAAGGCCTGGGTGTCTGCTGCAAGGACCCCAAACCTTCTGCTTTTTAATTACAGCATTAATGAAGTTAAGCTCACAACCTCCCCAAAAACCACACACTAAATCCTGTCACTACCTAAAGATTTCAAGCCTTCCAAAATTAAAACTTTACTCTCCATTTTCCCATTAGTTCCATTCTCCTCACCAGCCCAGATATGAACACGGGGTAAACTACAGAATTGCACAATCCGTCAATAAAATAAACGTGTTTGCAACTACTGTCCATATGACTCAAGTTGTCAGTAAAAACTGCCACCAGCGCTGTGCTTGCAGAAAAATGTCCATAAATGCATTATTGCGACTGGCAGATCGATGTCCATAATAAAAACAAATAGAGTTAACAAGTGCTGCCTTCCCCGAGTTATGCCACGGGTGGGATGTGTATCCAGCTTCCTCAACAACTTCTGGGAATGAGCATTACACTGTTAGGCACCTGCTGACTGCACCAGCACTGCAAGCAGGGATCATTCTAATGCAGGAAGCCTTTAAAGCATTAAACCAAATATTAATGCCTCCAGGATGGGTTTGGAAGTTTCACACATTCAGAATTTAACGTGGGAACAGACACCCTGCTCTAAAGACTGAACCATCTGCCCCACTGGGATATTGAGAAGAAAACCTTCCCTGGGAGCATGGTAAGGCACTGGTATGGATTTCCCAGAGGATGCCCCATCCCTGGAAGGGTCCAAGGCCAGGCTGGACAGGGCTTGGAGCAACCTGGGATAGTGGAAGGTGTCCCTGCCCATGTCAGGGGGTGGAACTGGATGAGCTTTAAGGTCCCTTCCAGCCCAGACAATTCTGTGATTACATGATACTGCTCCATGAGTATGTTAACAACTACCACAAGCAGGAAGGCTTTTTCTCTCAGAAAATAAGTATAACTTAAGTGGAGCTGCAGCCCAGGCAGAACAGCTCACTGTTAAACACCCCAACACATTGGGATCTACAATTTGTTCCCATAAAGCTTTTACAGCACCAACAACTGAACAACCATCCCTCCTGAAAGCACCACAAATGAGCCTTTCCACCTTACCCACACTTCCCTTAACAAACTTTGTTTTTCCTGCACAAGTCCTTAAATCAGCCACTAAGGGCCACCCCAATAACCCTTCCAGAGGGCAGGAGCTTCTCCTCCAGGTTACAATCCCTTCAGTGATGCCATGAGCTGATTCCCTACATAAGTTAAGCACTAAGCAGTGGTGACAAGTTAATTACAGAGTTATCAAGAGATAAAGTAGTCACGGTAACACAAGTTGCAGTATAACTACAACAGTTTCCTATAGAGCTTCTGTTCAGTTGCTGGTGTAATTGGTGTAATTAACTTGTCATGGATCAGAATGCAGATAGGAACTGCTAAAGCCACCTCCCAAGCTCAAATAGCCACATCTTTTTCCCTCTGAAACTTGAAGCTTTCGGTAGAAGTGTCCACGTCTGTAACATTTCTGTTTGAAAACAAAGCAAACAAAACTTCTACTGGGAGAAGTTATGTCACAGAATGACAACACACACAAATAAACAACCTGACGAATTTCACATAACTGCATGTTTTTAGAAGTATCCTGCATTCCAGGGATGGGTTTTGCCCCAGAAGAAGTAAGCTTTACAAACATCACAGCATTCCAACATTAAGGAACTTAAAGATTAATGAAGTCTGAGAGAGGAGGGGGGAGAGGGCAAATGCCCCAGTGCAAAATTAATACCTGAAGAAACAACTTGGGTTTAAAACAAAGTATTTTGTGTCTTCTGCGAGGGGGGAGCATGAGCCTGGACACAAGAATTAGTTGAGAAATGAATGTTATAGTATAAATGTTATGCCCCAGTTCATAAATGGGAGGTTTTCAATGTGAAAATCTTCAAAGAGACTGCATCTCACTGTTTAACAAGAGCTCCAGCCACAAAAATAAGACACACTCAGCAACAGGTTTATTTGGGAGGGGCAAAACAAGAAATAATTCTTTACACTTACTGTGCTTTAAAAACGGAAGTTACAGTATTGTAATTACTTTTAAAAAGATGCAGAGTTTGGCTTTTACACTAGTGGCAAATGCATGCTTTAATGTTAATATCAATTTTATAGGTATGACAGAATAACAGAACAGGTCAGGCTGGAAGGGGGTCATGTGGTTCAATCTCCCTGCCCAAGCAGGGTCATCCCAGAGCACATGGCACAGGACTGCATCCAGCTGTCCTGGAATATTCCCAGTGAGCGAGACTCCAAAACCTCTCTGGGCAACCTTTTAGGAATTATCTTGGTGCAGTTTCATGCCAATCTGCTCTGACTACAGAAAGCAGAGCACTGCCATACATCCATCCCAGCACTACTCAACCCACAGCAAACACACTGCACAGGACTGCATCCAGAAAGTTCTGGAATATCCCCAGTAAGGGATAATCTGAGCAATCTTTTGGGAATTATTTTGGTGCAATTTCATGCTGATCTGCTCTGACCACAGGCTGCTGCCATCCACCCATCCAGCCAGCCAGCCACCCCAGCACTGCTCCCTCTACATCCACGTGGAAACCAAAACGCACTTTTAGATGCCCGGTCTCCCCCAGCAGCCCCCAAACCCAGGCCCGGAATATTCCGAGTCCGAAAGGACCCACGAGGACCATCGAGCCCAACTCTGCAGTGCGGCGCTCTGGCCGTGCGAACCCGGGGTTTTGGGGGGTCCCGTTCGCAGGGTCACAGGACGGCGGTACCGGGAGGGCGGCGCATCCCCCTCTCCATCCCCATCCCTCCTCGTTCGCCGCGGTGCAAAGCGAAACCTCAGAGCAGAGCGGAGCTGGGAGCGCCCACCCCGCTCATCCCACCCTCCAGCCGGCCCCTGGGTGTCCCTGGATGTCCCTGTGTGTCCCGGCCCCCCGCACCTGCCCGGGGCGGAGGAGCCGAGCGGCGATGGCGGGGCCGGTCCGGGCAAGGCCGCGCTGCCGGGGCGGAGCCGGGGCCGCCCGGAAGAGGCAGAGCCGGAGGGTTCCAGCGAGCTCCGGGCAGGGTTTTGGGGACACCTGTGTTCCAGTTCCGTGCTTGTGTGGCCGGGCAGGGAGCGGAGCATCCCCCGGCGATGGGACCGGGATGCGGATACAGCATCGCTCCCGTGGGCACACCCGCGGCTGTGCCCGGACACTGCCGTGTCGGACACACGGATTGCTGTAAAAATCGTGTAAAAATCGATCACAGAACAGCGATCTGAGCGCGCTGACCAGCCGGGGTGTCCAGCCTGGGGGGGGAGAGAAGGCTCCGGGAAAACTTAGAGCCCCTTTCCAGTGACTAAAGGGGCTCCAGGAGGGCTGGAGAGGGACTTGGGACAAGGGCATGAAATGACAGGACAAGGGAGAATGGCTTCAAACTAACAGAGGGCAGGGTTAGATGGGATATTGAGAAGAAATCCTTCCCTGTGAGGGTGGTGAGGCCCTGGCACAGGCTGCCCAGAGAAGCTGTGGCTGCTCCATCCCTGGAAGTGTTCAAGGCCAGGTTGGAGGGGCTTGGGGCAACTTGGGCTAGTGGAAGGTGTCCCTGCCCATGGCAGGAGGTGGGACTGGATGATCTTGAAGGTCCCTTCCAACCCAAACCATTCTGGAATTCTGTGACTTGCAGTCATGGGTAAAGGTGGGGACAGGGAATTAAACCAGAGTTTGCAGAGGATGAAATGTTTGGCAAATGCAATTCCCAGAAGAAGAGACAAGGAGGAGATAAGAGGGAGTGAAATGTCAGACAGAAGTAAACTGTAGGGTAGAGTTTATTTGAGGTCATTAAAAAAAAAAAAAAGTTTGCAGCAAGAAACCACTAATTTTCAAGCCAGATAGTCTTTCACTGTCTAAGTTACATCAGCAAAAATTTTATTAGTTGTGCTGTATGACTCAGACGCTAACACAGAATGGAGGAATCCACTTGGGAAAGATCAAAACAATTTTTAAAAAGTCAATGCAGAATTCTGGAAATCCTTTTCTTTTAATACAAAAAATATGTATACAAAATAAATGTAAAATAAACACAGCATTTAGTGTCTGTGTGTTAAATGTGATACTAAAAAAAGTATAAACTATTGTCCAACATGCAGAATTTGCCCTAATACAGTTGAAAATAGTTGCACACATTGGTGTGTAACACTACTGAGATAATTGCTGATTTTAGAAATAATATTTTTAATAATATTTTTAATAATATTTTTAACATGACAACAAGTTTTCCTTTTTGCTTTCAGACTCATTAACTTTGAGTCTCCCAAGGAAATGTAAGCAAGGAATGTTTACCACCCTGTCTTATTTTCTTTACTGTCTGCCCAGGCAAAACATGGGCCAAAAGTCACTTGAAATTGTTGTCAGATAATAAAAATGTCCACAGAGCCTCCACACTACCCTGTTAATTGCAACCCTCAAACACACCACTGTTGAACAAGGTAGAAATGATCTGTGAATCTGTGTGATCTCTGAATTACAGTTAATATAAATGAGTTAACAATGATAAATTCAGATCTCATGATATGAGCATTTTATGGACAGAATTCCATTTTAAGCAGCAAAGAAAATATATTACAATAAAGGAAAAATCTATGAAAGGGTGTTGAATGTTTGGAATAAGTCACAACCAGTTACAGGTTTTCAGTTCATGGTTTCTTTTGTGCTTTCAGAATTCATCTCTGACTTGGCTTTTCAGTAGCTGTCAGTGAACAGATGATTCAAACTACTGTGATGCCATTTGCTGATGAGAAAATGAAGTTTTTCACTAGTTCTAATGAAGCTCAGATTAATGATCAGTTAAAAGGTGCTGCCCCTGCATTCCCATACAAAGGCTATGGCTAATGTGAGGGTGATCTCATCTCTAAATAAAAGGTCAGTAGGCTCTGGAATGTAAGGGATACTCTAGAAATAGTTATCTTTTTTTACACACTACTAAACTGGCTGGAATCTTCCCTCTGTCCTGATATCCTTGACTCAAAAGTAGCCTGTCCCTGAAACTTTATTATAAGTGGAAACCTCCCCAAAATACATATTAATCTTTTCTGCCTCCTCTCCCAAGGTGATCTCCTTATTGCCTGGAGCATGAAAATTGATTATCTTTAATATGATTTTAGTTTGCATTATAACAGGCTTGAATGGGAATGTAAAATATCCAGACTTTCTTAAATCCTACCATCTTGGGCTTTGGTGGTGGGTCCACAAGTTGTGTGTTTGCACTATAAAGGAATGTTTCTCTGCACAGTTTCAAACTTTACTGCATTGGAACTTGATTGAGAGTCATATATTTCTGTTTATAAATGAGGTAACAAAGATACTTTTGATCAATTTTCACTTTTCCCTCAGAATTATGAACATCTTATTCAAATTTCTAACCCTTCTACTGGCCAGATTTGGATCTTTATTACTTTAAGCATCCTTTCAGCCACTGAAGTTCTGAATTTCTACCTAATATATTCTTTAACAACAGCAACATCCCTTATTAGATGTGTCAGTGGTCAATATCAGTGTCAACATAGCATATATAGTTTTATTTATATTTTTATATTTTATATTTTATATTTTTATATATATATATGTATATACTTTTTGATGTGTTTTAGGCCTCTTCCTACTCCTATACTTTATTTACCTCATCAGACTTCTTTATTAAATTAACTCTGAGGGCCCCTAAATGGTAATTTTCTCCCCAGGAGTTTCCAGCATTCAGTTATGACACATTCAGTCTAATTCACTAATACTGAAATTTTAGGGGAATTTTCATAACACTGATCCTTTCAGAAGATACAAAATTTCTAAAATGTTTTTTAACTCACGTCCCATATGTTTGCTTTTCATTCCAGGCCTCTTCTCTCAGCCTTTATTTTATTTAAGTCTATTACTTATAAGACATTGCATTTCCTTTCAGTTCTTTGTTTGTTATTACTTGCTCATTTAATGTGGCATTTTCAGGTACAGAGTGGTATTTTCCCAGGACTGGAACATCTGTATTTTTCTTCCAGTGACAGCACATGAATTTGCATCCAAGTAAACCAAGGCTTAAACCAATCCACGAACTTCGAGGTCAAAGGCTGTGATGGGGTGGGATGGAAAACTAAAAATGGAGGGTTTTATTAAATTCCTTGAGATGTGACTTCACAAATACTTCGGGCTGGATTAAATTCCTTGTTAAGGACTAACCTCTGGAAGCATCTACATTCTGCAACATCTGCTGTGGAGGAGAGACTTGGGCACTGGAGCTGTAACTGCCCCCTCGCTGGAGCCGGGAGAGGAACAGATGGAGTCTCAGGGACGATGTGGGACTGGAAATCACTCCGATTTGGACCTCACTTGTAGATCTTTAATTTCCCCCCAGAGAAAATTGTCATATTGGAGCACAGGCATAATATATTTGTGTGTCTGTGCTTTACTGAGTCAGAATCTGGCCTCGCTCACTTCCTCTGCTCCTCTGACCTCTCCTCAGCTGCGAAGAACCGCAGGAATGTAACCTGGTGTGATTTCAGTGCAACGAGTAAATAAGTCTTGCCTTTCACATTTAGAAGCACCAGGAAAAAAAAAAAAAAAAAAAAAAAAAAGGCTGAATGAAACCAGAAACTGTGATTTTGTTTGCCAAGACTCTGGTGTTTTCTCCACAGCAGGGATGTGTCCTGCAAATCTCAATCTGGAAATATTCATGTCCATACAGAGCTGGCTGTTTGATCTGGGCATGGTTTGTGCTTTAATTGGCCCTGAAGGAGAGTGTGTGTATGTGAAAACACTCCAAATCTGGTTTCTTCATAGGTTTTTAATAAGAAGAAGTAATCTCTTATACCAAACTTTTGTTTGCAGCACATTGTGGGAGTTTGTCCCTGTGTTTTAATTGATGTGAAATGCTGGGAAGCACCTGAGCTACTGGGAAGTAGAGCATGATGGGTGTAAGAGGGCAAGTTAAATTTTGATGATGTGGCATGTGATCTGTGTGTAAGAAAAGAGGTCTAAGGATTGTTCTGAAGATGTGTGATTTTCTGGGCTTGTCCTTCATTCTGGGTCTGAGTAGTTGCAAGACTTTAAATGTCCACAATTCTTTAAATTCAAGGGTATTCAGGTAAAAATCTGTTCATTTTAAATGGTCATCATCTTTGAAATAGTTTGTCACCCTCACTAACAAAACTTTTTCACTCCCTCTTCACTCAAAACATTCTCCAAGCTTGTTTGATTCCACTTCTAAATCTGGACTCATCTCTATTGAAAAAACAAAGAGTAAGCTCAGAGTTAGGATATATTGAGCAGGAATACAAGTGGTTCCTGTGCTGGGAGAGGAAGGAAATTGAGTGGTTCAAAGTGTAGAATTACTGGTAAGTTCAGAAAATGTATTTTTGTAGTCAAAGCATTTTCAATACTTATGAAGAAGCTGGGGATTGGGAGAAATATGATTTCCTGCAATCAAGGTGCTGGGAGTTGTTTGCCAGCCAGTAATGCCTTTAGGGAAATCTCGTAGCAAAGTGTGTAAATGAAAGGGATATTAGCAGAGATTGGCTTCATTTTCTTTAGGGCAAAACCATAAAAAGTTATGGTGTTTCATATGCCCGACTTCAGGTGGTTTAGTTATCTCCTGGCTGCTCTGTTCCAGAAGTTGTTGGAAAATGTTTTGACAATATTGGTGAAACTAACTGGTATAAATTTTATCAGTTGTACTGCAGAGAAATTTGTGTGGTGTAAACAGCTTATAAATGTTAAATAAGAGGATTTTTGGGTCAATAAGACCAATGATACATCTCCTCTTAAATTAAGTGTGCCTGGAGTCCTATATTTAGTGGAGCTATTGCCAAATTCCAACAAGGCTCATGCATTTCCAATAATTATCACAGCAAAATTTGCAGCGTATGTTTTTTTCCTATTGACATATTAAGCATGTTTGCAATAGAACACATCCTTCCAGGGACTGGGCTATTGTAGCCTGGTTAGAGATGAGCCCAACATTGTAATCAGTGTAAATTACTTGGGGAATCATAGAGTCATTGAAGGGTTTGGGTTGGAAGGCACCTTAAAGATAATCTAATTCAACTCCCCTGCCACAGGCAGGAACACCTTCCACTATCCCAGGTTGCTCCAAGCCCCATCCAACCTGGACTGTGACCCTTCCAGGGATGGGGCAGCCACAGCTTCTCTGGGCAACCTGTACCAGGGCCTCCCCACCCTCACAGCCAAGAATTCCTTCCCAATATCCCTTCTCACCCTGCCCTTTTACAGTTTGAAGCCATTCCCCCTTGTCCTGTCTCTCCAGGCCATTGTGAAAATATTCTTAATAATTTTTTTTTTTTTTTTTTTTTTGGAATGAAGATTCCTCCTTGCATTCCCACCTATGCCATGGGCGGGTGAGGTGCCAACAGGTACTGTGCTGTTGCATTCCCAGAACTGACGTCATCAATCCCTTTGTAGGAAAAAACTTGCTCCCAGATAAAACTGAGTATTTACTGGGAAGGACTGGAAATTAAGTCAGGTTAATTCCTTTTGGGCTTTCTAACCAAGCCCTGTGTGCATGTGCAGGGGCATTGTGGAGTCACATACTGCATCCTCAGAAATGAATCCACGTGCAGTTGGTCCTAACATGCCTCTTGCACCGGAGGAAATGGATATTACAGTTGCTGGGTTGAAACGTGCGCTCAAATGCATTGGGAGTTTGATACTATTTTTCAAGCTGCCAAATAGATAATGTCAGAACATTTCTGAAATGGGATCCTCACATCAAGATATACGGCACCAATCAGCTCACATCAGGCAAAGTACAGCGGAAAGCCGTGGATGGAGGAGACTACTACAGAATTTCCATTTTCATTCCCTATGTCAACAGCTTTGTAACTTACCTAGTAGATTGTTTTATGTTTTCCAGACATATTCTCAGTAGACCACAAACACTACATTCAGCTCAGCCTTCAGAACCCAAAGAATTAGATATGCTGTAGTTTATGAAATGGATGTTTATGAAAGTATCCTTTGTTTGAATTGCTCAAAAACCCAACATGAATTCAAACTTTGACAGCGTAAGCAGAAAATAAGAGGGCCATAGTGATCTCCCAAATGTAGCCTTAACTATTGAGGTTCTCATATTGAAAATGCAATTTTCTGTCTAGATGTTTATGAATGTCTTCAAATTCCCTTTCATAATAGCCCCTTTTTGACAGGCCTTTTTCAACTCTGAAATATGAGAAGAAAGGTTGCTGCAGAATGTAGTATATACCATTACAGGAGGTGCACCTCTGTCCCTCAAGCCAACCGTGCTCCTTCGGAAGTCAGGGATGATATATGTGTGTGGAGGAGGTTGCAGAGCCCAAGATCCGTTGCAGAGAAGCAGGATTCTTTTACTGAATCACAGTGAGTTCAGGTGCTAAAATACGGTGTGGCACTTTAGGGAGCCTGTCTGTGTAAAATGTATGAATTCTGTGTGATTTTATAAACTGCAGGTATAACTCCAGCCTCCAGTAATCTTCCGAGTGCTGGCAAACCTCATCACACAGCCACCGAAGAACAGTCAGAACTGTTCATATTGAATTACTCTCCACAGGTAGAAATGTGTTTTGTTTTGGAGAGGGTCTAAATGAAAGGAATCAGTTTCCCCTGGATAACCTGCGTGTGGTGGAACCGGCGTAACCAGGATGGACGGGCAGCAGTGCACAGCACAACAGAGCTGAACCTACAGAGGTTCTACCTGTTCTCCCACACATTTTCACGCTCTCTCTGTGCTTTTGGAAGGATCTCATGGCAAATGGTGGTGCTCTTGGGCAGCTGAGGGAAAGAGCCCCTCAGAAGATTGTATCCTGAGCTGGGTCCTCACAGCATGACCAGCAGGTCGAGGGAGGGGTTTCTCCCCCTCTGCTCTGGTGAGAGCCCCCACCTCCCAGTTCTACCTCCAGCTCTGGGGTCCCAGCGCAGAACAGACCTGTTGGAATGAGTCCAGAGGAGGCCACAAAGGTGATCAGAGGGCTGGAGCCCCTCTGCTCTGTAGACAGGCTGGGAGAGCTGTGTCCACCTGGAGAAGGCTCTGGGGAGACCTTTGAGCTCCTTCCAGTGCCTAAAGAGGCTCCAAGAGAGCTGGAGAGGGACTTGGGACAAGGGCCTGGGGAAGGGCCTTAAGCTGAAGGAGGGTGGGTTTATTTTAGATATTAGGAAAAAATTCTTTACTGTAAGAGTAGTGAGGCCCTGGCACAGGTTGTCCAAAGAGGTTGTGGACTCACTTCTCTGGAGATATTCAAGATCAGGCTGCATGTGGATCTGAGTAACCTCGTCTAAGCATCCCTGCCCATGGCAGGGGGGTTGGAATCAGGTGATCTTTGAGGTCCTTTCCAACCCAAACCATTCCATGATTCAATGTTTATGACTCTATGATTCTATGATTGGAGAATCCCTTTGTTGGATCTCCACTGCCAAAACAACTGGCGACCCAATTGCCAAGGCAACTGGACAGGTCAGATAAGCCAAACTAGGAGCTCTCTACATATTCTCTAAAGAAATAATATTTAAAGGATGTTTCTCTGAGGAGTTGGAAAGGCAAAGGGGAAGGCAGGAAGAAGTGCATCTCCTTGCCAAGAAGCATTACCAAAGAAAAGCTGGAATCCTGTCCAATTGCATTTCTGTGCAACCTCTGTGGTAAATTGGGGCACTCACTTCACTTCTAGTGTCTTTCATTAACATTTTTACATAAATACAGTGCACACTGTGAGAGGAATAGAAATCTGCCTTGAAAATGTTTATCTTCTCTTGTTTTTTTAAAATATGTAATGTTATTTGTCTCATAAGAGTAGTGACACATATGCAGGGTTCCTGTTCCTCACAGCAATCTCGGTGTGGGTCTGGGTTCAGCTCCCCATTCAAGCAGCAGTCTAAGTATAGAATAGATAAACATATGAAGTATTTTATAAATATAAATATAAAAATGGGTGTAATCCTGTTCTCAGAAGATGCTGATGTCCAGGCTCAGAGCAGAGGAACTCACTGTTTAATTGGATCCGTGGTGGAGCAGCACTGGAAAGTTCCCTGGCTGGGCTGGGCTCGACCTGGCTGTGTTCCCACACCTCCTGGGAGGTGACATCCCTACAAAATGCTCCTGAGGCCACAATCCAGAAAATCCAGATGGCAGGTGCACAGCTGGGGTGGGATGCTCCCATGTGTCCATTTGTAGGCAAATCTTTTCCATGTTCAGCTTCCACAGTCGGTTTAATAACAAACATTAAAATACCAACTGACCTGCAAGAGGAGAAAAAAAATTGTTTGTGACATTAAACACCTTCACATGAAATAATTCAAGTTAACCTGCAGCAGATTTTAAGCATAAGCAAGTCCCTGGGTGGTGAAGGTAGAGATGTGCACCCTGAAAAGGTCAGGCAGCTGCTGAAACCTCCGTGTGCTCCCTGTTCTGACAAAAATGAGGTGGAGGAAAAGACAAGTCCACAGCCAGCCTGAGGAGTAGGAGAGGAGTGTGCCAGTCAAAAGAGAGGTAACATTTCAGTCAGGAGGAGCTGGAGAACAAGTGCTCCATCTCCTGAATTTGCATATCTTGTCTAAAACTTTCCAGATTCTCCTCTCTCAGGATGGTCCCTCTAGATCGCTGCCATCCCCTGCCTGGTTTAGTGTTTTCTGGCTTTATAGAAGCACAACAGGAAAACCAGCCAAGTTGAACCCAATATAATGGTTGAATAGTTTTATTCTGCTCTGGAACACGGGGCAGAGATCGTTTTGATTCGTTTATTGTTTCAGCACTGGGCAAATACAAATATTTCTCTTGCGTCCGAGGATATTTTTAATCCTGCTTTTTAGATGTTGTTTTATTTTGCTTGAAACTCCAAATGCATTCTTCCCAGAATTTCTAAGCTCATTCTTTTTAATTTTTTTAAGGGTATCCTGTCACTTTTTAAATACGGTCTTTTCATGTTTCCAGTGAATTCCTTTGATCTGCAGATGAGAACTGATGAGATGCCATTTCCTCAGCGCTGAACTTTGCCAAGAGTCCGGAGTGGAGCCTGTCAGGATCCGAAATTCGGGAAAATAAAATTCCTGACAGGACTTTCCAAAGCGATCTTTTCCCATTGTCTGCAAAACAAAAAGCCCAGGACAAGATGTCTGTGGTTTGGTAACATGGAAGTGAATGAAGGGAAAAGAAATGCAGTTTGGTGGGTGTGTTCTCTGGTTTATTTATGGAGTAATAGCTGGGAAGTAAAGTTATATTCTTCTTTCTCTGTTCCACATCTCCATGACTCAAGGGATCTGGCAAGGAAGGAGCTTGGAGCATGGAGGGATAGCTGAGGGAAAAATTGCCCCTGAAGTGGTCTTAATAAATTTATCCTGAAAAGGACCATATACAGTGATGCTCGAGGATTGTAAAATAGTCCTGGCTGGATTGGAGATCTTCAAGCCATCTCTCTGTGCCAGCTCCAGGGTCAGACACAGCTGCTCAGGGTATTCCCCAATCAGGTCTGGAAACCCCCGAGATTGGGGACAGCCCACCCGCCCCAGGAAGCACGTTCTTCAGCTCTCTGCCTTCCCAGGGAAGATGTTTTTCCTGAAAATCCAGTGCTTTTGGTGCCTCTCGGTGCCTAAGTTCAGGAAACACACACATCCCTTGGGGGGAAATGGGCTATTTTGGTCAATTCAATCCAAATTACATAGTGGGTGGTTGGAAGGGGCGACCTAACACTATTCTCATAAATACCATAGTTCCCTCAGATTTGGATGAGTGATTCTTTTTAGCTGAACTGCTACTTGAATTCTACAGCATATTCCAGGGAATAAGTAAATAAAACACCATTTATGCCATGGGATCAGCATACTAATTTATGGCCAGATCTGAAGCCTTTTCCCAAGGCAAAATACAATTAAAGCCAGGCAGAACTTGACCCGAGTGAGCACTTCAGCATTTGATCTGTGAATTTGACTTTTCTGAATTTTTATTATTTTTATACAGTAGTAAAAGTCTCTCCTGCTGGTGATTTTACATTGTACTGGATATTGAATTCCTTGCAGCGAAGGCCTCACCTCTTGAAACCTAATCTTATATAGCGTGCTGTCTAAAGAACTTAATTCTTATTGGGATAACAAGTTTAAAAATATATATTTTTAAAGCACATCCGTGACATTTTTGTTAACCTGGTTCTAACGGTGATCCAGCAGGAACAGCAGAGGATGAAAAGTGAGGAACAGGCTGAGATCTAATCTGACCCAACTCATTGATTCCCTCCCTGACCTTGGGTAAGCCTTTTGACCTGCCTGGGCCTCAGTCAACTCAGCTGGAAAATTGGGTAAAGAGCGGAGCCTGTTAGAAAACCATCTTCAATTTGAACAAAGATTTCCCGGAGACCCAAAAAAAGTGAGTGTAGTCGTTTGGTACAGACATAATTGATTGCGGACTGCACAAGAATAACATCCTGAGCCGTGGGATCCCATGGATGACATCTCATTTGTCCTGCGGTGGCTGGGTGGTCTCTGCTTCCACTTTTCCTGTCTCCAGAGCTGTATTTTCCCTTTCACGGTGTTAGTCTGGCCGTGTCTGCCCTCGGTAGGAATGTGGTTCAAATACTGCAGGAGCCTAAGAAAGTGGTGGGGTGTTGTTATTATTCCTGTTTGGATGAGAGTTACTGAAGTAAATTATTGCCCCCTGGATTTAGCATGACCTGGAGTGGCATCACATGATACTGTGCTAATAACACATAAAAATGAAATCAGGGATTTACAGAATCACAGAATATTTTGAGTTGGAAGGGACTCACAAGTGTCATCGAGTCCAACCCTTAGCCCTGCACAGGACCATTCCCAAGAGTCACACCATGTGCCTGAGAGCATCATCCAAATGCTCCTTGAGCTCTGTCAGCCCTGGTGCTGTGCCCACTGCCCTGGGGAGCCTGTTCAGTGCCAAACACCCTCTGGGGGAAGAACCTTATTCTAATATCCAGCCTCAACCTGCCCTGACACAACTTCAGGCCATTCCTGGATTCATTACTCAGAATTCATAGATCACAAAATGCTTTGTGTTGGAAGGGACCTCAAAGCTCATCCAGTTCCACTCCCTGCCATGGGCAGGAACACCTTCCACTAGCCCAGGTTGCTCCAAGCCCCATCCAACCTGGCTTTGGACACTTCCAGGGATGGGGCAGCCACAGCTTCTCTGGGCAGCCTGTGCCAGGGCCTCACCACCCTCTGAGATTCTCCTGAGGTTTTCCAACTCTGTCCTGGCTTTTCCAAGCCTTGTTTCCTGCCATCAGTCTGGACCCAGCGGTGCCTTTAATTACCAAGAGGAAGGTTCAGGCTGCAATTCCCAACATCCATCCTCACATGTTAGCTCAAGTCAGGACCCCTTTGCTCCACAGGGCGCACAAGGTGTGCCTAAAACCGAGAGCATGGGGTCGTTTGGCTTTGTGCAGATTCCCCACCCCCCAATCCCTGATGGAGCCGTTTCTCCAGCCCGGGCTGCTGGAGCAGCCCCCGGGCGCAGTCTGGAGGGTGCAGTCCCCTGGAGCCGATCCAAAGGGCGCTGCCATGGCATGTGGCTCCATCCACGCGGGGCTGGAGCGGCTCCCGGCCGCGTGCGGGGCGCTCCCGGCTCTCAGGGAGCTGGCACTGTTTGTCCTGGGCGAGGGCCAGCTCCTCTCGCTGCGCCAGCGCGTTTGAACCAGCCCGGGATCGCTAATCTATTCTCCGTGACCCACACGCTGGAAAAAAAAGGACCGTTTCCTTTTCCCAATTCCCACATCTGCTATTTGTTTTCCTCTTTCTCTGCCTTCCCGGGATTTGGGAAGGAGTTCAGGAATGCGGAGCGCTGTTCGGAGCCAGACTGACCTCAGATACTGAGTGGCATTTATCTGGCAAGGCTGGGAGGTAAATAGTGAAGAGGAAACAGGCATGTTTCTTCACTTCCACGCGTGTATTTCTAAATGTTTTAAACCAAAAATAATGATTTTATTCTAAAATGTTACCTAGAGTAGGAGGGACCTGGTATTTCCAATGGAAACTAGTAAATCCTGCTTTGCCAGTTAATTGGGTCTGTCGTTATCCGTCCATGAAATAGTCTAAACTTTAACATTAATATTAGGTGCAAACACCTAAAAAAAGTCACTTCTACTAGTCCAAATGAAATTACTATGTGAGAATGACATTTATGTTGGAATAAAATCATCACTCTGCCTCATATAACATAATATATCTCTGTATTTTGCATCACAAGAAAAAACAAGAATCCCAGGCTCTTCTCCCTTTAAAAGTGCAAGCACAGAAAACCAAAAATTTCACTTTGAAAATATTCAATATTTTTAATGGAATATTCTGAAAACATATTTATCAAGGAAATTTGAAAAGCAGTGAGCACAAATACAGTTTGGAAGCAAAATGCAGTCAGAGTTTGCAGAATAACACAAAATATTAATGTTTGGGAGGGTCTGGATGATGTGTAATGACCAGGAGTCCACCTTTTTCTCCCTTCTTTTTCTTTTTTTCCCAAAGAAGAGGACTTGATAGACCTCACTAAATGAATTTCCCTGAGATCCCTTTTAGTCACAAAGAGGTGATTTTAAATTTTTTAAGCATATATAGGTATATGTGCATCCTTGAAATAAAGAACAGTAAAAACAGTCACATCTTGAAAGATAAAATTATTAAGGAAGATTAAAGGGAGATTTAACCAAATATGCTTCTCTGCCTTTTTTGTAACAACTCGGAGAAAGTTTGGTGTCAAAATTGAAAGTAGAAGCTAAAATTTGGAACAGGGTCTGTGGCTGTGTATTCCTCTGTGCAAAAGTACAAGACTTACCCACAAATATTTGGTGGGGTTTATATCAAGAGCCAAAAATATGTGTACTTATGGAATTAAAGGGATAGGAATTTTAGAAGAGCTGATTAAACTTGCTACAATGCTGCTGTTTGGATTAATGGCCAAGAATGAGGAGCTGATTTTTTCTGACTTTTGAGACACACGTTCCTTCTAAGAATGAGGATCTGATGATAGGAATTAGCTGAACAGCAGTGAGTGTGTCAGGGTTTGCCATGTGACACGTCCTGCCTTGTCCTCTCCTCCGAGATGTGTCACCAGAAGCCCTCAAGCAACTCTGAAAGCCTTCAGTTATTCATATTAAATCTGCTGTTATCACCCCTGTGTTCCTTTTGCTTTTGCTCCTGCACAGATTTCCTTCCACCATCGAGCACCTTTGTTTAAGATTATTTTTCCCTGGATAGATCAAGTTGCATTTTTCCAAGTTCAGTGTCATTTGTCACCGTTCAGCGACCGAACTTTGAAATCCCCCCTGATCACTGATGCCACCCACTGTGGCTGTTGTAGAAACAAGAGGCAGAGATGAAAAGTGCCATGAGATCATCCAGCCCAGCTCCTGGGATGGCTCTGGCTCTGGCTGGGGCGATGGAGCTGGGAGAGGGATCTTTGGGCACCTCTTTGGATCCAGGCTCGGTGTTTGCTCCTGCAGGCAGATAAGGTTCTCTTTCATGTCCAGGAGCCACCAGGAAAGGAAAACCCAATGCACTGGTGGAATGACTCCACCATTGTGGCTGGGAGACCCTGCACAGTGTCAATAGATAGATCCTGGCTGTGCTTCAAAGAGCTGTGATGGTGACAACAGTGAGTCAGGGCTTATGGCCTGACTGAGGAGACCTCTGTCCATCCTCAGCCAAGCACCACATCAGGACTAAGTGTTTGAAATACAGAAGGTTTTGGCATAACGCTTAAATATGGAGCTGTTTTGTGCAGAGTGAAAGGTAGAAATGTTGTTGGAAAGTGATCAAAAATCCATACTTTTGGTAGAAAATAAGTAAAAATAGACAAGCTAAGGGGCTAGGGAATTCTCACTGAATTCAGTGCAAAGCTCCCTTTCATTTTATTAGAATCATGGAATGGTTTGACTTGGAAAGGACCTTAAAGATCCTCTCTTTCCATTCCCTGACCTGGCCAGGGACACCTTCTACTGGACCAGGTTGGTCCAAGCCCCATCCAACCTGTCCTGTTACTCCAGGCCTTTGTCCAAAGTCCCTCTGCAGCTCTCTTGGAGACCCTTTAGGCGCTGGAAGGGGGCTCTAGGGTCTCCCTGGTGCTT